GGCCCTTCACCTGGGGGGGGGGGGGAGAACACAAAGCCTGAAATTAATTTAAATCAATGACGCTGATGCTACTTCCCAGTGATACAACATGTATCACTGTGTAAACCATTGTAGGCATGACCAACATTATGGGATGTGCTTCTCTAGGCAGCTTTGCACAGATCCATTTTACCAATCTCAATCACTGTGCCCAAGAGGAATATTTAATAGTGGCTTTGCTAGCCGGTGCCCTTTGAGAACCATTCTGTAGCTGAACTACTAATATGAGATTCAGGAGTATGTTAGCAGCATTATCATCCTATTAATGATTGTTCTATTTTTTTTTTCTCCAGCAAAATAGATTTCCAGGACTTTCTAGATGATGCTTCAAAATTCCAGCATAATGAACTAGTCCTGAGTTCATAACTTGGCTGTGAAATTTGGAGGGGGCGGGGAGTGTACCATTAGTTTCACAATTTTCTGGTAACAAGGAGAGCAGAGATTGTTGGGTTGTTTTGTTCTGGTTTGTTTTTCTTTTTTCTATGAATTCATTTTTTCCTAATGGTTCTTCATGACCTGGATTCATCCCATTGAATATCCATAAGTATAATGTTGCCAAGGTGAATTTACAGTAAATCACTTGCTTTGGGTGCAGTATAAAGGTGGTGGAAGATTAATCTGAAGCATAGCTGTCAAGGTTATAAATATACTTTGGTATAAATTCACTTTCCTGATGTTGAAATATATATATTTGGTGGAGTCTTTATATTCATGAAATGGCAAGCAGCTATTTTATATCACATGGTTTGTGAGATTTTTTGCATGATTATCATAAACCAGATAGAAATGCCTTTGATTAATCTGAAAAATTATCACAGGTGGCTTTGTTTTTTTCCAGGAAATGGTTATTTTACTACTTCCCACCCTCCCCATGTTACTGGTAAGTAATATCTGTAATCTGCCAAATAATTGTGGATTTTCCATCTAAGACTTCTGTTTCTTCAGAATAGCACGTTAAGTTCAGTTATGTCCATTAATGTCTTTACGTTTTCTTCTAGGGTAAACTAGAG